ATTTGATTTCGTTTGATTTTTCTGTTTTCTTGAATGCCCCTACGTGTTTGGAACAAAAATAGCTTAGAGATCCATAATTACCTATATTAAGGTGGAAGAAAAATGAGGAAAGAGAAGAGGAGAAAAAAAAAGAAAAAGGGTGTAACTAAATCCCTTGATTAAAGGCACAAATAATGGATTTTGGAGCCTTTTAAGGTGGATTGTATATATTTTGTAACTAAAATGTATTTAGGTTAGGTAAATACCAAACTGTGGATATTTTTCGTAATAAGGTTTGAAATAGTGTATATGTATGTAAAAATCCCTAAATATTATAATATCAATGGTAAAACTGAGTATCAACATGATGGAAAATGTAGTTAGAGAAAAAGAACCCCATCAAAGTTTTAAAACCATAAATATTTTTAATAATTCTAATGCTTGAAAGTTATGATGGTCGAATATAAATTGATTGTACCAAATATATAGATACATCCAAAAAAAAAAACGAGTCACATAGATATGTATCATGTGTCACATCTTCCTTTTTATTTGACATCACTATTATTTGAGAATCACATAAAATTGTTTCCTTAACTAAGATATTTCAGCTATTTTCTTAAATACTTTCATTACAAAAAATTTAAATACTCCCATGCGAAAGGATATTACTAAACTATTTTAAAAGTCCAATAATTTTTCGTTTGACTAATTTTATAAAGCTTAATAATATTTTTAACAATAAACAACCTCAACTCTTGGTACCTTTTACTTCAATTTTGATTCGTACATTAATTATTAAATATTTATCCGTTAATGTTCAAACTTATTTAAAAATTAGATATATTGATCATCATACTCTTAAAATTTATATTTTTCTTAGATGGAAGAAATAACTTATAATAACATTATATAGTGTCTAATTTTTAAGTAGTAATTTCATCGTAAAAGTCTGAAATATCAAGTTTAATTTTTTTTTTTTTTACTTTAATAAACGTTTTACATAATTCTTGGTCGAAGGGAAAGGTATTTTTCTTTCTGTGAGGATGAACGTGGCTAAATTTTGTCAACTGATACATCACATAGACATAAATGAAACGGTCAAGATGAACAAATGCGGATTTTTAGTGGGGTCATAGAAACCAAAATCAATATTAGCATTGAAATTTCTTACACTAAGATAAGTATTTACCAATTCCTTCCTTCCTTCCTTCAAACCCTATATAACCAATCCCTTCGCCGCCTCTCCTCTTCACCTCCTTTATCCCCTTTATATATTCAAACCCTACTCTTCCTTTTCCAACTGCTCCACTTTTTCTGTTCCTTCAAATATTATTTGCTTCGTTCAATCGGTAAGATATCTAATTACGATTTACTCTGTATTTTTTCTATATTCCTTTTGCTCATCTAAAACTGTTGATTGAATGTCGGCTTCGTGTTTTTATGCATTACATAGTTTATCTTCAGTTTTTTGATTATGTAGTGATTGATTTCTCAATGTGTTTATACCTTTTTTTATAGTAAGTTGTGCACTTCTCGGTGTTTAGTGCCAATAGCTTAGTCGTCTGCCACATATAATTTTTTGTATAACTGAGTAATCAGCATCTGTAGAATCTAGCAAAGGAAAGTACCAATTTATATCTACAGTGAATTTAATTGTTACCGCCATTTATGCTATTCTTTTTTTTTTTTTTTGCTTCATATGAGGTGGATTATGAATATCTTCTTATTTTAGATAGCACTGGGATGGTTATATGGTTTTGGTTTACTACTTGATGCTCAATTTGTGCTTCTTTTAGATGGTCATAGGATCTAAGTTGCACGGACTCCGCACCCGTCTCGAGACGGGATGGGACGGGAGCGGGATACGTCCCGGATTCGGTCAATTGAGATTTTAATTTCTCAAAATTAAAAATAAAACAGATTTAAGACATGCGAAATGACATACCTTCAATATTGTAGTATTTTTGTTTCATATTTGCTGCTTTGTGTTCCAGAAAAACCAAGAATTCAAGGGGTCGTGTTCTGAGTTCGGACTTATAGCTCTATTTTTTTATAATTTTGAATTTTTTTAGCCGAATCCTCGCGCACCCATATCCATACCTGATCCACACCCTCGGATCATAGAATCTAGCTTTTGCCGAATCCGACACTCTGATCCGTGCCCGTATCGGATGCCCGCACCTGAGTCCGAGCAACTTAGCATAGGACTGAACATCCTATAGTGGATTATCATAACTTATTAAGTTACGGCGATTAGTAGGCTATATTAACTATGGTTATGCATAAATGATTTGATTCAGCTTGAAGAACTCTAACCAATTCTATATTAAAGATACGGCCATTGCCCATTAGTGTGCGATATATCTTTTGATTTCTAAAATTTTGCAATAATGGGTTTCTTTACGACTCTTCCAGCAAATGGCACTGTAGTTTGCAATTCAGAAGCTCGGATATGCAATATGCAATATTAAATTTCCCAAGTAATGTTATACTCTAGCGGGGGTTAAATTGCCGAAATGATGAGAACATTACCTATGGCCTTCTGTTTACTCATATACATAAATCCCAGAATATATCATTTTCCTTAAATTTTACCTTGCTTCAGCTCTATGACTGAAAGAATTGACTTTAAAATTAAGTATCATTTTTTTCCCTTTTTTATTTTTATATTTTTACGGCATTGCTTGTATTTTGTAACAACTGCTTTTTCTCATAACTTTCCCCTTGTTTTTTGATGTGGCTTTCTTTCTGAAGGTTGCTGGCATCTTATCTTTGTGGGGTTTCAAGTTGTAGTGTCTAAGTTGAAGTATCTTTTATGTCCAAACAAGCCATACTCTATTTGGGAACTGTTGGATTGCTTGGAGAATATTGTCCTACGTCAAGAAGAAGGAGCAGTCATATATCTGATCGGGTTGACTGTATGCATCTCGACTCGTTTTCGGAAGGACACTTAGAGTTTTGTGGTTGCAGTCAGACGCAACCTTCTCTCAACAAAATTTGGGCCAACGGATCCTCTGAAAACCCCTAACGCTTTGTTTAGGAAATTTCACTGAATCAAAATGGCTTTGCAGAATATTGGAGCTGCCAACAGTGATGATGCCTTCTACAGGTACAAGATGCCGAGGATGATTACCAAGATAGAGGGACGCGGAAATGGCATCAAGACAAACGTGGTCAACATGGTTGACATTGCCAAAGCTCTAGCAAGACCAGCATCTTACACCACAAAATTTTTTGGTTGTGAGCTTGGGGCTCAGTCAAAGTTTGATGAAAAAACTGGAACTTCCCTTGTCAATGGAGCTCATGATACTGCCAAGCTTGCTGGTCTTCTTGAGAATTTCATTAAGAAATTCGTTCAGTGCTATGGGTGTGGAAACCCTGAAACTGAGATCATTATCACTAAAAAAGAGATGATCCAACTGAAGTGTGCTGCATGTGGTTTTATTTCTGATGTAGACATGAGAGACAAGCTGACAACGTTTATTCTTAAGAACCCACCTGAGTCTAAGAAAGGTGCCAAGGACAAGAAAGCAATGAGAAGAGCTGAAAAGGAGCGATTAAAGGAAGGCGAGGTTGCTGATGAAGAACTGAAGAAGCTGAAGAAAGAAACAAAGAAGAAGGTTTCTTCCAAGGAAGCCAATGCAAAACCTAGCTCCAAAAAGAAAGCCAGTGGCTCTGATGAGGATCATGCTTCCCCACCCAGAAGCCATGTGAATGTGGAAGAGGATGATGAAGAAGATGATGATGTTCAGTGGCAAACTGATACATCAATGGAAGCTGCGCACCAGCGCATCCAGGAACAGTTGAGTGCTGTCACAGCTGAAATGGTTATGCTCTCCACAAATGAACCAGAGAAGAAACCCAAGGCAGCTACTCAAGCACGCCAAAGTTCCAAGGCTGTTTCAGCGCCATCTGAGGATGATTCCAAAGCTGAGAATGGAGAGAGAAACTCTCAGACACTTGTTGAGGAAGTGAAAGTACATCTGAAGAAGGGAGTCACGGCCAGCCAATTTCGATCCTTCTTGGGTTCACTCTCTGGATCTCCTCAGGACATAGTTACTGCTGTCTATGAGGCACTCTTGGATGGTGTTGAGAAAGGATTTGCCAAGGAGGTTATTAAGAAGAAAGGTTTCCTTCTTGCCGCTGTTGGTCAACAGGAGGGGTCACAACTACGTTTGCTCCGAGCACTAGAAGAATTCTGTGGGAAATCTAACGCAGCAGCTGTGAAAGAAGTAGCTCTAGTTTTGAAAGCTTTGTATGATGCTGATGTATTGGAGGAGGAATTTATAGTGCAGTGGTTTCAAGAGGGTCTTGCTGGGGATAAAAAGGACCCCAAAATGTGGAAGAATGTTAAACCCTTTGTTGATTGGCTGCAGAGTGCTGAGTCGGAGTCCGAGGAGGAATGAGATCACAATTCTCATCCTTGTTTAGATTGTGTTCTCTGCAGGCTTATGTTCTGGCATCTTTTATCCATATGCTGCTTTGCCAGAGAGACTATTACTCGTTTGGAGTTCATGTGTTCTTTATTTATGGTTTTGCTTGGGTCTGTGTTTCTAATTTCATGGTACTTCTGTCGTGTGATGCCTTTGTTTTCTTTTAGATGTTTTTAAGGTGGAAAGGTGTACTATGCAGAATATGGTAGCTACTTGTTCTTGTTGAGGAGGGTGAATTATTTTTTTAAGTTTAAATGCTTATTAACGTAAAATAGCAACTTTCCCATGGTTCAGCGATGAGATTGTAAGCAAATTTTTGTGGTGATATTTTCATTACGAGCTCCGGAAAAATATAATTGCATTTGTTATTTTACCAGTTAAAGTGCATTCATATTTTTAACTTAAATTCTTTTTAGTGCCATGAATTTGCACTTGAAAGTGAGTCTTACTGCAGGAAAGTAAGGATTTCGTGCCTGGCATTAGATTGACTTTCTTCGTACAATGCGGGAAATGGGGAACTCTTAACCCCCTTTTAGGATCGATGGTAAATTTGACGGACAGCTTAATATGATTTTGCTCTTCTGCTACAAGTCATTTTCTCTTGTAATAATATTAAAAGTAAATCTGATGTAAGATGGAGTACAAGATATACTAGCGAGCTAGAAATGCCTCAAAAGCAGATACTGTTACGCCTGATCATTTGAGTTCCTTTTGCAGCTTTGCATTAATTCGTCTGGCGACAATGAATTTGCTGAACCATCTATCTTATGCTCAAATCTCAACAGAAGAACACTCCATCATGGAGCAGCGAGCTGATTAACAATAATAGAGAATCACCAGTTGCAGTGCCTGGTGTTGAGATTCTAGTCTTTTAAGCTAATTAAGGATTCATTGGACATGTATAAAATGTGGCTGAGGTGGCTGTAGTGATAGTTCATTCTCATCATCTAATGGAGCAATCCGAGAATGCGGATGCTGTTGTAACGGCAACTCAGTTTCCTCATCTGATGGGGTAATCTGAGAGTGATGAAGATCCTAAAACAAACATAAAGAAGAGAGGAAATTGGAAATCAACAACCATTCATTGCTACAACATTTTCAACGGTGCTACAGAGTGTACTGGCAATGATGGCGAGTTTATCATTGCAAGTAATATTTCTTTCAGGTTTTGGGTCCATAGTGTCATTTGTCAAAGAGTATATGTCAAAATCAGTCTGATCTCATCTTCTTAACTTACATTTCATATCTGGCAGATCAATATCACTAGTATGTTAAAGGCAGTTTTGCTGTAATTCAAAATCAGAATATACATCAACAGATGACTTCTTACTCTTAGATATGGTGTTTATGCAAATTTCATGGGATATATAGAGAGTATTGTTGTGCTCATGCGCAGTTGTGTAAAGTCCCAATAGCAGAAATATAACAGGTTGAAATGCCTGTTGCTATTAGAAGCTTGTGGCAACAGAAATTAAAGGGAACTAACAATGAATTAGAGACCACTATTAGAAAAGAAGAATAGCATAGAATGTTATGAGATGATTTAGCTTCAAAAATATTACTACAACAATATTGATACTTTACCCACCTGTTGATGCCTCCGACGTCGTATAGCAAGAAAAACTTTCGCCAATACATAGACCGCCAGTACGATTCCGATAGTTTTCAACACTGATAACTAGAAAGACAAATACATAAACCAACGAAAAAGTTTCTTTTGAAGTAAGTTTAATTGTGTCACTAACCATGATCAATGTTATCGAATTATCTCCAGCAACACTAAGGATAAGTGGCAGGATTGTACGTAACATCAGAAGAAGCACAAACTGCATGGACAGAGGGAAGAAATCAAATTTACAAATTGTATCTCCAACAACAACAAGAACAACAAGCCCAGTGTAATCGCACAAGTGGGGTACGGGAGGGTAGTATGTACTTAGGCTTACCCCTACCTACTAAAGGTAGAGAGGTTGTTTCCGATAACAAGAAATAAAAATATAATCTCGCTCGAGGCAAGAACTAGTGCTTAGGTGGATTAGTCTAGTGATTCTATATGCCTTTTCTATCCAGAGTGGATGCGCCATTGAGCAATACATGATGTCCCTACATAACTACTTGAAAGGATTTCCCTACAATCAGCTTTTTTCTCAAATTTACTCTTAGCAACTCTTATGTTCGAAGCAAGATGTTGTCTATTCACAGTCGGTGCCTACCATTATGGCAACAATGCGGCAGCATATCAAACTTGTTGGATAAAATACTGAATACTCATCAAAGTCATAATCAAGAAAATTGTGGTCTGCAGAAGCCAATGCAACAAATTGAGGATAATCAAGGCTATTCATGGAAATCTCCCAGTTTCCTCTGTGAAATCGAACAAGATCAAGCAACAGCAACCTTAGTTATTAGTTGGAACGATAAAGAACAGTTTTGTGAAGAACAGCCTGTGAAATTTCAGCTGGCAAAAGTACCTCATGTTCATTGGAAATCCGCCAAACAGAGGAGCTGGTGCTGTATAATCTGGCCTAAAATTCTGTAATCTCACATTAAAGAGAAGCATGGTTAAGAGCAACCTACTCAATAGCAACATTTGGGTCCTGGTTTAAAGAATGAACACAGGATGAAAAAGTATGCAATCACAATTAGACCTACAAACCTGGCGGCAAATTTCACAGACAGTGTCCCCCTTCTCATTGCACCACCTCTGTACACATTTGCGATGGGCATACTGTGCACAGAAAAAGTTCATTAAGAACAAAATATCACTAAATGATTGAGCATCCAAGACACAGCTTGTCTTAGTAGCCGTTACATTTTGGCTTATCCGATGAAATCCACGTTGTTATTGCAGCTTCATTTAGGACATGTTCAGTTTCATGATAATTTTTTTTACATCAGAGTACCGTAAAGGCTTCTGTTCAATGATGGCATAAAGCTTATTATAGGCATAACTGATCTTCTCATATGAAATCAAACTATATATTATCCTCACCTTTTGGATTCTGTGCAACCAAAAACAAAAAACAAATAGGAATCCAAACTGTGAAGTTTTACAAATCTCTAGTAGAATGCGCAATGTACTAAGAGCTGCACCTAAAAGTAACACATAATAGCCAAAGGAATTCCAAAAATGGAAAGTCATGGTCACAAATTACATATATGTAACTCTTTTTCAGAGTATAAAATCCATTTGTGGTACCTTTAGGATGGTTTATATATAAGGTGAGAACTATGAGCATATTTTTCAGATATCAGATATCTATAACAAATAATCAAACAGTTGCCATAACAAACCTGGAGGGTTCCACGGCAAGAACAGGGAATCTCCATGTTTGAATCTTCATCACCGTCATGACAAATCCTACATTCTTCCATCTTCCTTGGTGTAGATTGTACATGGATGTCCATCCTATATATAGGAAGCACAAGTTTGTCATTCTTTTATATCAGCATTATGGTCTAATATTTTTTTTCATAGTAATACTAGTTCTGGAACGTACAACATACATATTCAGATGAAGTCTGTGTGAAAATTAGTTCTGATTCAGGGAACACAGGTCACCTGCATTATGGAGCAGGAAAAAAAGGATCAACTATAGGAAAAATAATTGCATATAGTAGCTATAAATCATGTAAAACAAATTCTTAGAAATGATATTAATTATTTTGAATTGAAGAGGTTAAAGCATTGCTAAGAACATAATTAATATTCCAGGAATTATTGGAAGTAGAAAAAAAAATGAAACTCAAACGAAAAGTTTTAAATTTGTGAAAAAGAATCGAACCCAACACCCTTGATCCTACGAGGGGACGAATGATACCGAGAAACAACTTGAATAACGGGAAAGAAAAGTGAATGAATTATTAACAGGAGGAAAACTTATAAGAATGGAATGGCATTTTTGCAAGAGAAGAAAACAGACTCTTAACATATTTTCTTCTTCTTCATTCTTTGCTTCCACCTTGCATTTTGATTTCCCATGTATAAATTTTCATTTTTGCCATCCCAATTTTTTTCATCTCAAAGTCCAAATCTTTCAGAATGGGTTTCTCCAGAATTGTGGTTTAAGGATAAAGCAACAGTTTTTATTGTTGTAGTCATGATCATAGGTCAACCTCCCCAGCAATTCAAGTCCAAATTCCTTTTACACAAGCCGAGGTTTCCCACTGTGACCTTTTTTTTTTTTAACCTTTTTAATAATATGGAGGACAGAGAACTTTTTTTTATTTTTAAAAACTCCTCTCATGTTCACAAAGCATAGTCAGTCTCGGATTATATTTAAGTAGGCTGATATCCACGGTATAAATAGGTATATTATGATTGCGAATTGAATGTAGAGAATGTAGTTGATTGGTTGACTTTTTTTATCCTTTTTCCCTTGAAAAATGCTTTTGAAATTTATTTAAAGGAAAAGAAGTTAGAAGAAGCAATAACTTAATCTATATCTATCTATATTTATATTTATATCTATCTATCTATATCTATATTTATATCTATATATATTATTATAAAAACATGAATAATCTATATTAAATTTTGAACGACTAAAATACCCCTGAGATATTGATTGACTTTTATGCCCTTAAGTATTTGTATAATTTAAGGATTCAATTGTAAATTATCAAATGATGGAATTCTTTTCCAATTTAAACTACACATACACCGATCCTACAAAGTTGATCCTATTTGGATTAGAAAAGCATGTCCATGATTTTCTTTTTTAAAAAAAATTATTGTTCCTAGTTACAACAAATACGTAATTTTGTGGGAGAATAGAAGATTCCTACTTGAAGTGTTTTCTTTAATTCTTATTTATATTAGGAATTTTAAGAACTCTTTTTTACCTTTTTATTGTGTAAGGAACTTCCTATAAATTTCATTCATTCTTGTAAAGTGATTTATTTTTATTTACGTGTTAGGAATTTTTTTTTTTATAAATTCTACTAATATTTTTCCTTCGAATAAAATATCATGATTCCTTTTTGAATAGGTATTTTTCCCCTTCACGATAGGATATTTGGAAAGTATTTCGATATCTTTTATTTATTTTGTTAGGAACTTGTGGAATATAAAATTCACGTGCTTTTTAACTAGACATTGGATTAATCAGAATTGGAGTTGGACTTAGAGATTGGATTAATCAAGATTGGAGTTAAATTATTTTCTAGCGGTAACAATATAATTTTCTTTTGAATATTTGTATAGTTAAGAATTCATATTTTATTAAATATGACTTTTGTAATAATTGATATAGGATAATGTGCAACACAAAAAAGAAATGCCAACACAAGGTATGAATGACTAAATACCCTTTCTATTTTTGGTTTCTTTGTTACTAATGTATCTTGAGTAAATCTAATTTTCATGTATCTGAATCGTTAAGGCTTAATTAATGAAAGAAAATTATTGAATTAGAAAAATAATAGTATTAAGTATTGTTGTATTCTTTAAGTAATTTTACAACTTTAATTGTATAATTGTATAATTCCATAATATTTAGTTCTATTTTGTCCTTCATTGCGCCAAAACATTATTAATTTGTTCCTTTGGATTGTATATTATATCTTTTTTGTTCTAGGGAAATAAATTATTAAACTTTGTACATATTGAATTTCGTACATATTTAGTTGCAATTAGTTTTAGAATATTATGCATTGGAAGGTTTATTAATTTTTGTATGCGTTTCATAATATTTGACGTAAGATATTCGTGCTCACACAAATGTAGAGACTAGTATTATTATAAAAGTGGGAAGCCCTTAGTAAAAGTTAAATTACTTAAATGTCCTCTAAAAATATCTAAGCCCTTAATTAGGTAAAAAGTTAAATTGCTTAAATATCCTTTAAAAATATCTAAATTAAGAAAATAAAAAAATAAAAAAAACCTCCTCATTAGAAAAGGTGCCTATTCTTTCCAAAAAGGTGTCATTTAAAAAATGACTGGGTTTTTAAAACTAAACAAAGGAAAATTTGAGAAAAAGATAAATGTGGTATATGGCCGAAGTGAGGATGTGCCAATTTTTATTTTTCAAAGTCTTTGAAACGGTACATGTTTGACCAAAAAGTATTAATCTTTTTGCTAAACTAATTAATAATGAAATAGAGAGTGAATCCTAGTTAAACATAATAAATTCTAGATCCAATACAGGAGGACACCAGCGGTATGGACAGTGTTTGAGAATAATGAATATCGGATATGAGCTCAATGATTGTCAATGAATGTTATAATAAGAACATGCAATAAATGTAGACAATGACAATAAATGTAATAAGAGGGAATTTATCACCCAAATATTATATGTCTTGGATGATTCTTCCACCTGACAGCAACGTGGAAGGATGGGAAGTGAGGATGGATAATGAATCTTTGGATCTTACAAATGTAGATTGAATAACATATATTAAGCAATGTCGTTAGTGAACAAGACAACTTTTGTATATTTTTTATAGTCGACCTTTTACAATGTGCTCTTATCAAAAAGTAAAGATCCCCCATTTGTTCTTTATCTCTTCCTATTTATAAGGGATATCCCTAAGAAACCCTAAAAAGTACAACATAAGGAATATCCAAAGTCTATTGCTGAGCTATCCTACCATTACTTCCTTGTTACATTCACTTGACCTCGGCAATAATCCTCCTTGAGACGACTCCTCGCCGTTGTGCAGTGGTCGACTCTTCCCTCGCCCCTGTTTATTTGCAGTTATCAGGCCGTCCAAATTTAGACCAATACAGTTAGTCCCTCTGCTTGTTGAGGTCGTGATCTTGCACGTCCTCGATGAGCGGATCCGGTCTGCATCTATTTAGATTAAATTTGGTTGTGTTGATCGAGTCGGCTCGGCCGAGGTCAAAAGAAAATAGCGTAGCTAGCGGGGCTGCGATTGGTGTGGCCCACGTGGGGTGACGTCATGGCCATGCGCGTCATCATTACGCGTCTTTCCAGTGTAGTGTCTGTGCTTCTGTTGCTTCGATTTTAGTGCCATTGATGGTCTTTTGCTTCGATTCTGGTGCCACCCAACCCTATAAATAGATGGCGGGGGTTTCATTTTCGAAAATTTTCATCATTCCTCATTTCGTATGTGTATTGCTTTCTTTTATCTTCTTCTTCGATCTCCGCTTTCAATCTCTTGCAGCCTCTTCAATTCTAGTCCCAGGCTTCTTACCCAGTTGATACCTTCTTCTCCAGATTTTGTTGCATTCGCTTTACTATGAAAATATGTCAACATCCCTTCATATTCACGACGAAGTTTCTGATGCCACTCCTTTATCGGTGGCCCTTCCTCCCACCAGTGAGGAATTTATGGTTAAAGAGAAGGAAAGCTTCCCCACCATAGAGGAGGTGGTACCCAAGAACCCTTTGGTCAGACATGACTTCCCAAAGGAACCCGCTCCCGCTCCTGCTCAGAAGCTTTCTGAGACGGGACCGACTCAAATAGCCGACCTCCGGTCCAAATATCGCATTTCTCCTTATGTCGAGATTGTTCCGGTCGGGGGCGATATCGTAGAGGTTCACCGACCCGGATATTGTGCTTTCTACGTCTATCCATTCTTAATCGGCTATTCTCTTCCTCTCCCCTCATTAGCGGAGGAATTTTGTTAATTTTACAACGTCTGTCCAGTACAACTTTTCCCTTATTTGTACAAAGTTTTTCTGATGCTGGCGAAATATGCAGAGTTGGCCGGTTGTGAGGTCAACATTCGCCACCTGCTGCATCTATTTTCGCCTAGATTCTATAAAGGTACATTGATACACCTGCGGCATCGTAGGATCAAAGGATTGGTGGCCGGGATGGATGATAAGACGAACTGGCGGTTCTGGCATAAGTACTTTTTCGTCAAGACCGAAGCACTTAGTGGAGAATCCCACTGGGTTTTCGGGACAATGGAACTATAATCGTAAGTATCTCGCTGTATGCTCATTATTTTCTTTCATTCTTTCATTTTTGACTCACTCGCGGCTTCCTTGGTTTTTAGCTGAGAGGTGTGCACCTTCTGCCGTCTTCGATATAAAAGATTGGGTGGCTCGCCTGTTACCCCACACCGTGGGAATTCGTGATTGGGTGTCCTTTCACAAGCGTTTTGGGCCCAAGATCCCGCCCAGTAGGTGTCATTTCTGCCTCAGCTTATTGTTGTTTACCATCGTTTTTTTATGCGACCTCCCTTTGGCGCTAGGTCGGTGAGTTTCCAAGAAGACGAGGGCTGCAGTGCCTGCATTTCGCCAAGCTACCGCATCGGCTGGAATGCAATTTTCCTTGGCCGAGTCAGCTCAAGGAGGTCGGACTCAAGCTCCGCTAATGAGGGACTCCGCCCCTCAAACTGTTTCCGTGCGGAATGAGATCTCTTCTCAGCCTATCTTTCACCTTGTAGATGAACCGTCTAATGGCAAGGAGACATTGTCGAGGAAAAGGCGAAGGGTGGAGACCGGGAAGGCCATCGTCGCTGACATTGAGCCGGAAAAGTTTGTTGCTCTGGAGGCGGAAACTGTGCTTACATCAGACGTTGAGGTCGTTTCTACGGCGGGCATCGTCATGGAGAGGAGACCCTCTGGGGTTGAGGAGATTCGTGGTAGCAGGGAGCTTACACGGGCTGCAGTAGGTGGCTCATCATTGGCGCTGTTCCTGCAGCAGACGACGACTCTGGCTCGGATATCGATCCTGAGGAGATTCGGACCTTCATGGAGAGGACTACTCGTGTGGAGATAAGGATGGATGGTCCTAATCGGCACATAGTCATCCCCGTGGACTACGACCTTTATGCCAACTCAGAACGGGCAGTGCCGATATTTGCTCCTCTGTGCGCGGCTTCTAAGAATACGGCACTACAGACGATGACAGATGCAGACCTGTCGTTGGGCATGTCCAGCATGGCTCTGCGGGTGAGTGTTATTCCATGT